TTGACGAGCGCTCCAACGACTACTTTTCCATCGACGCCGAGACGGGCAGCGTGGTCACCGCCCGCAGCCTCGACCGGGAGACGAAGGACACCCATGTGCTAAAGGTGACCGCCTCTGACCACGGCTCCCCGCGCCGCCGCTCAGCCACAACCTATCTGACGGTGACCGTGAGTGACACCAATGACCATGAGCCGGTGTTTGAGCAGCCTGAGTACCGGGAGAGCATCCGGGAGAACCTGGAGGTGGGTTATGAGGTGCTGACCATCCGTGCCACCGACGGTGATGCCCCAGCCAATGCCAACATGCTTTACCGCCTGCTGGAGCCAGGAGCTGGTGACGGGGTCTTTGAGATTGACCCGCGCTCCGGGGTTGTGAGGACCCGAGCCCCGGTGGACCGCGAGGAGGTCTCCGAGTACCACCTGGTGGTGGAAGCCAATGACCAGGGCAAGGATCCAGGACCGCGCAGTGCCACGGCTATGGTGCACATCACTGTAGAGGACGAGAATGACAACTACCCTCAGTTCAGTGAGAAGCGCTACCTGGTCCAGGTGCCAGAGGATGCCCCAGTGAACAGTCAGATACTGCAGGTGCAGGCCACAGATCGGGACCGGGGCAGCAATGCACAGGTGCACTACAGCATTGTGAGTGGCAACCTGAAAGGCCAGTTCTACATCCACTCTTTCTCTGGCGCTATCGACCTGATCAACCCTCTGGATTATGAGACTATTCGGGAGTACACACTCCGGATCAAAGCCCAGGATGGGGGCAGGCCTCCACTGATCAACTCCAGTGGCATGGTGTCGGTGCAGGTTGTGGATGTGAATGACAATGCTCCCATCTTTGTGAGCACTCCCTTCCAGGCCACGGTGCTGGAGAATGTTCCGCTGGGCTACTCGGTGCTACACATCCAGGCTGTGGATGCTGACTCCGGGGAGAATGCCCGCCTGGAGTACAAACTTATAGAGATGGCACCGTCCACCGGAGGTGCCCCTGTAGCAGGTGACTCTGGGTTCCCTTTTCAGATCAACAACAGCACAGGGTGGATCACGGTGGCTGCAGAGCTGGACCGAGAGACTGTGGAGAACTATCACTTTGGGGTGGAGGCCAGGGACCATGGCATGCCAGTCATGACCTCTTCAGCCAGCGTGTCCATCACTGTCCTGGATGTGAACGACAACAACCCCACCTTCACGGAGAAGGTTTATCACCTCAGACTGAATGAGGACGCAGCTGTGGGCAGCAGTGTCCTGACCCTGACAGCAGTGGACAGGGATGTTAACAGTGTTGTGACTTACCAGATCACCAGTGGCAACACCAGGAACCGTTTTGCCATCACCAGCCAGAGTGGAGGGGGGCTGATCACGCTGGCCTTACCCCTGGATTATAAGCAGGAAAGGCAGTATGTGCTCACAGTCACTGCCTCTGATGGCACTCGCTTTGACACCGTCCAGGTCTTTATCAATGTTACGGATGCCAACACGCACCGCCCAGTGTTCCAGAGCTCCCACTACACAGTGAGTGTCAGCGAGGACAAGCCCATTGGCACCTCTATTGTCACCATCAGTGCCACCGATGAAGACACAGGGGAGAACGCAAGAATCACTTACATTTTGGACGATAACATCCCCCAGTTCCGTATCGACCCTGACACAGGCACCATCACCACCCTGATGGAGCTGGACTACGAGGACCAGGCCTCCTACACGTTGGCCATTACAGCCCATGACAACGGCATCCCACAGAAATCAGACACCACCTACGTCGAGATCCTTATCCTGGATGCCAATGACAACGCACCCCGCTTCCTGCGTGACCGCTACCAGGGCTCGGTTTTCGAAGATGTGCCACTCTCCACCAGCGTCCTGCAGCTGTCTGCCACCGACCGTGACTCAGGCCTCAATGGCCGTCTTCTCTACACGTTCCAAGGTGGTGACGATGGAGATGGCGACTTTTACATCGAACCCACTTCTGGAGTGATACGCACACTGCGCAAGCTGGACCGTGAGAATGTGGCTGTCTACAGCCTGCGGGCCTTTGCTGTGGACAGGGGCAGCCCACCGCTGAAAGCCTCTGTGGATATCCAAGTGACTGTGCTGGATATCAACGACAACCCCCCCGTCTTTGAGAAGGATGAATTTGACATCTTTGTGGAGGAGAACAGCCCTGTGGGCTCTATTGTGGCACGGATCAGTGCAGCTGACCCCGACGAGGGGACCAACGCACAGATCATGTACCAGATTGTAGAGGGGAACATCCCTGAGGTCTTCCAACTAGACTTGCTCAATGGAGACCTCACGGCCCTGATGGACCTGGATTATGAGAGCCGGACAGAGTACGTGATCGTGGTGCAGGCCACTTCTGCCCCTCTTGTGAGTCGGGCAACGGTGCACATCCGCCTGCTGGATCAGAACGATAACCCGCCCGTGCTGCAGGACTTCCAGATCCTCTTCAACAACTATGTGACCAACAAGTCTAACAGCTTCCCCTCCAGCGTGATTGGCAAGATCCCAGCTCATGATCCCGATGTGTCTGACAGCCTGGCCTATACCTTTGTGCAAGGCAATGAATTAAACTTGCTCCTTTTGGACTCTGCCACTGGGGAACTCAAGCTCAGTCGTGATCTGGACAACAACAGACCCCTGGAAGCCCTCATGAAAGTGTCTGTCTCAGGTAAGTGAGCGTTCGAGGTTCATAAAGCGCGTAATTCTGCTTGTCAAACCAGTACGGGGGCACGGGCAGAAATAACTCACTTGCAGTTTAGTGCGCAGCTTTCGGTTTCCTGAGGCAGCAATTTATATGTGAAATTTTTGGAGAGGAACCACAAAAATGTATCGAGTCCATGTGCTGTGGATTGAAGTGGTGCGTTGAAGTTGTTTAGTAAATGTGGATCACAAGGGTAAATAAATACAAGGGTGTGTGGAAGGGTATATACTCCCTCAGTTGAGGTGGTGCTTTGGCTGAAGCTTTTCTGATGTGGTTGCGTAAAGGTAATAAATGATATAACTTGCAGAGATGTAGGGAATGCACATGTATCTGTAATGCCATCTCCCCTCCCTCTTTTTTTTTCTCTTAAAAAAAAAAAAAAGAAAAGCTGAGATTTGGTATTTCTGCTTTTTTAGCAACAAAACATGTTTATTTCCTTCTGCCTCCTGGGATTTGGCTGGTAAGATCCTTAGACCTCAGACCAGTTCTCTGCTGGTGCGGCCCAGGTGGATGTGACGCTGGCAGAGCTGCGCTGGTTTGCATTGCTGTTGTGTGTTCCTGTGGGAAATGGCGTCGCTGAAAGCAATGAGTTGTGGCTGTGTAATAGCTGTGTAACGCTGCTAATTGCACTGGAGTTGCTTTAGTACAGCTAGGGGCAGATACTGGCCAAATACAGCCCCAAAATCGGTGCTGGTGAGGAGAGGGAGAGGAGGAGAGAGCGAGGGGTACTGTACCATTAACTTCCTCAGAGAATTTGTGTCTCTGTGTGTGTGAAGACTGTTCTATACCATCCAATATAAGCTGTTACATGAGCACGTACATGCTCTTAGGGTATTATTACTCTTTTTCTGCTCAGTTACTTGTTTATCATGGAATTACTTTTTATGCCTTTAATTGTGGCATCAGTCATGCAATGAGTAATTTCCTCTGCAGGTGCCACTCTATAAAGTTTACTGTGGACCTGATCCCATACTTGTTGACTCTCAGAGGTTTAACCGCATATGTTCCTTGCCGCCTCTCTCTGCAACCTAAAGCTAATATTTGTATTCACTCTGCAAAAAATAGCTGAAAGTACTAGGTACATAAAATGACACTTTGGGAAATGCTTCATTTTGGATGATTGTATTAAAAAAAAGAAATCAAACTGTGGCATAATCCTGGCAGCGCTCGTTTTACTGTAAGTAGTCATGACATGCAGCAGGGCCTTGGGGGAGTGAGCCGTGCTCTCCCTTGTGTTTGCAGGTTTGAGGTGCTTTTTGCTTCAGGAAAATGAAAGTGATATTAAGTGAACTGATTGAGTTTACTGAGGTGTATCACCTGACAAGCCACTCCTGTTTCTTCCAAAGTGCTGGGGGGCAGCTAATGTGGTGAGTTAGCTCATAAATGCTGTTTCCATGTCCTGTGAGGACTTGCAGAAAAAACAGACAGTTGGCTTGTGACCTTAAAGAAAAACATTTGGATTAGGCGCAGGTGATTGCGTGGTCATTGTCTGAACCAGTAGCTCTTTATCTAGTAGCAGAAGATAAGAACTCAACTTGGAGCAAGAAGCCTGGAAAAGACGTTTTGTTAGACTAGATGAAGAGAGTGTTCAGAACAGAAAAATAGATGACATGAACCGTTCCTTTCTAAATCTAATGGTTTACACAGTTTAAGTGGATGAAATCTCAGGTAGGAATGAAGACCTCTGTTTTCTTAAGTAACAGGAGCTTGGTTGTGCTAGTTTTCTTTTCATGTTTGGTCGAGGTGTGAACTTTGAAACACTGCTGTGATGTTGATCAAAACTGTCTGTCCCCTGCATGTCTTGAGATATTTGAAAGATTAAAGCTTTTTATGGATGGGATTTTAAAATAATTTTGGCAAGCACTGAACTCCATTTGACATTAATTTGGAGAAGTTTTCTGTTTGGAAATGGAAAGGGCTGAGTTTGGCAGTGTGTGATTGCGTCCAGGAAACTCTCACCTGCCAGCTTTCTCTGGTTTATCTGATGCAGTCGTTAAAAAAAATGACAGAGAAGAACTCAGACAGAAGTGCTCCACGGGGTTATCTCTAAATGTTGCGAAATACCTGCAAATCATCTGCTAAAATGACCTGCCAGTGTCTATGGAGTAGCCATTAACCTCTCAGCTCAGACAAACACAAAGTCTTACCCTACTCACAGCTGCTCTTCAGGTCAGGGTTCTTTATGAATGTGGGGAATTTGATCTATATATGAGTGGGAAGTAACATGGCTGCTTTAAAAATCTTATTTCCACCTAGCGATGTGTTGTGCTATGGAGGCAGGCACGTGAGTGTGTGTGACGCTAGTGAGGAGCCGCGCTACTCAAATTAGTTTGAGACTTTGATACTTGTCTAAAACCAGCATTTTTGCATTTGATTTGGGGATTATTCAGATAAACACGGTAATTTTGGTCTTCTGCATATAAACAAAGCCTTAAAAATCAGGAAACCCAAGCAAATGAAGATAAATCAATTTTGTAGAACCTGAGAACAGCACACTCGGCGTTTAAAACTTACTGTAACGGTATAAATGTTGTCAGAAGCTACGTGGGATGGTGGGCAGCTCTGGGCAGGCTCTGCCTTCGCCCTGGTGCGGCGGTACCTGCTGGGCTGTGCCCCCGCAGCCCGTCAGGAACCCACCCAGGCGGAGGAGGGAGGAATGTGGGTGGTGTGGATATTATTAGCATTTTGCTTTGGATCGGGAGAGAGCTTTTGAAGTCAATCTCTTTTGAAGTGAATCTCTCTGGGTGCCCTTCTGCCCGTGCCTGTTGCACAGAGCCTTCTGAGCGAACAAACCGGACCCCTTTTGAATGAAACTAATCCAAATGTGCTCCAGGGGTGCCCTAAGGCGTCCCTTGAAAAGACACTTTCTCCTTTTTCCATTCAAGGCTTTCCTACAGAAAAGCAGAACTTGGCTTTATATTCCCGTGCCTGCATATAGCGTCATTAGGTCTATGTTGTTTTAACAACTGAGGTGAAGTCTGGACCCTGCTGAAATCCTGCCCTTGCTTTCCAGGGGGGTCAGCATTTTACTCTGGGCTTCTGAAGACAGGTGGTCAGGAGTCAATCAGTCTGTGATTTCTTAGTGTTATTAATAAATATATGGCTTAAATTGACAGGATCATTAAAAAGTGAGGTTTTGTCCATGGTAATATTCACAATGACATCGAATTGGGATTTATCTGGTTCAAAAAATGGGTTAAACATGGCTCAAGTCACATCACATTCGCCCGTGTTAAACATTACACTGCGGTCATGGCTGGTGCTGGGGGGGAAGGCTGGTGCTAGCCTCAACTTTGCACAAACGTTGCACAAGTTTGCCTGGGTATCGCATTGCAAACGCTGCTGGCCCCTGCTTGGCTGTGCTCCCGCAAGTGGTCCCACTTACCACCACCGACAGCTCACTGGGGTGCAATAGATGTGGGCACAAACTCTGATGGGAACCCAGCCTAATTCACCAGCGCAGGCAAAACCCAACCTGACTGTACGCTACAGCTTCCAAGCGGTCCAGATAAATGTAAAACATCATGGTGTAACATCCAATTTCGGGAAGGGAGTGCTCTTCAGGAAAGCTGGTTTCCCCAGTGAGGGATAGACACCCAAGTGTTTCTGAGGGCGTGCGAGCTCAAGTATCGCCTTTTACATTTCTTTGGCTTTTAATCCCCAGTGGCATTTAGTGAGGTTCTTGACTATCAGCAAATACAAATTAAGATAGAGCTCGTTTTTGCTGTAATAAACTTGGGATTTTTACTCAAGTCTTGTTAAAAGATCTTCATTATTATTGTAATTTAAAAGTCATTACGCTAATGGTCCTGGATCTCCAGCTCTGTGCCTTCTCCATACAGATGTAACGGAGATGCAATACTTTGGTTTAGCCCCTCTGGTAAAGGTAAGGCCACAGCTGTGCCTGGGATGCAGGGCACTGGGGGGTTGTGTGTGTATGTGAAGAAGATTTGACATTAAAGGGGGAAAAAAAAGGCATTCAAGGGAAAAAAAGGCACCCGAGGGAAAAGGCATCTCTGAGTGCTGGGGCACCTTTGGGCACGGAGGGCAAGCGCGGGGCGACCGCTTGGGATGCGGGCCGGGTGCCTGGGCAGCATCGGGCTGCGCCCTGGCCTCGTGCCCCCGCCTTTGGGGAGCAGGGTGGATGGGGCTGCTGGGCCTGGTGAGTTTTGGGGGGCAGATCCGCAGGACTACCGGTTCTTTAAGGGGTGATGCTTCTGGCTGCCTGCCAGGACTTGCTTTCGGGGTCGGCAGGGGCCAGTTAGCATCCAAACTGCTCTCCGTGGGTCGCCCACCAGGGAAACATTCCCGCCAGTGGCTGCGGTGGGGTCGCTGCGGGTTGTACAACTAGGAGGTGATGGAAAGGGACGGGCGGAGGCTCCTGTCTCCCTCCCTCCGGGTGGGAGGAGGTGTATTGGTGTGTCGCGGGGCTGCAGTGCCTTTGCATGCTGGTGTGCCTGGGGACTTCGGGCACTTGCGCTTCGCGCGTGCATCCTGCGCTAAGAGGAGAGAAAGCAGCAGCTCGAACAGTGCACAGACCAGGGAGGCAACGATGAGGGTGCTTGTTTAGAGAGATGGCGTGATACTGCGAGCGGTGGGATTGCGTCCCCAAGTCGTTACTGGGTGTATTAAGTGAAGGAGAAGTGAAGGATGACCCGTAATGGTTAGCAGCAGTGGTTTTGAACACTTACGTTTATTTTCCTAAAGTAGCCAAGCAAGAGTAGTGCCTATCATTTTAAAGTCAGGGTAGCAGCTGGATCTGCTGTGGCTACCTAAATCCTTTATTGCATCCATGTAGGTTCTGTATTCTATTCCATAAGTGAGATGCATTTTAGATGTGCGTCCCTACAGCCTGCAGGAATTTGACTTTCCCTCTTCAGCTGCATGAGCTGTTCCAGCCGATAAAAAGCTGTGGCTGCCTTGTTGCTTTTGTACGTGCTTCCTTCCACTTCATCCCTGGTTTTCAT